GCTGGTAGAGAGCCTGCCTTGTAGGCACAGGGCCCTGGGTTCAATCCCCAGCTCTGCGTGAAGTCAGGCAAAATGCATGGTGGCACACACCTATAACCTGAGCACTTGGATCAGGAGCTCGTGTCTTCCTTGGCTAATTGAACAGGCTGAACAGTGACTCAGAGGGCAGCCAGGGATGGACGAGATCCTGCTTTGAAAAGCATTTACATGCTCTGTCCTGGATAACCTTGAAAGCGATCCTTTTCATCTGTAACCAGTTAGCCAAAGCTGGTAGGCAGGAGCATCAAAGGGGCAGGTGGAAATACACCCAGGATCCTTTTTTTTTTTAAATTCTTCACAGAAAGTCACTTTTCTTAAAAATACGTATTAGCAATAGCAGAATTGACGAGAGAATACTGAAGAATCGGCCAAAGGCGACCTCGCACACAGGTTTCCCTCCGCTCACACTGCCGGACCTCATTCCTGTGCTGTGCTCATGCCGGGTGAAGCACCTCCCCTGGTGGCTAGCCCCCTTCTTTTCTCCTAGGAAGCAGTTGGTGACCTCATTCCCGTTACCTAATACTCAGTGCTGTTGCATCCCCATCGCATGAGAGCCTCAGCAGTCTGGCTTGGCTGTGCCCAGATGCAGAAGTGACCAATGCCAAAGTGGACAACAACATCACAAGACGTGGTGGCCTAGTGGTAGCTCCAAACAGATCAACTGCGGCCCAGGTAAGGACCTCTGCTCCCATGTACCAGGAGCCCCAGCTTACCCTGACAAACCAATGGGGCAGCAGATGTAACAAGTCATACAATCAATAAACACTTAAAAAATAAAAACGGGGGGCGGTGGTCAGTAGAGAATTACCCGCCCCAGGATTTGGTGGTTTACTTGCCTGTAATCCCAGAACTCAAGGTGAAGACATAAGAAAATCAGAGTTCAAGGCCAGCTTCTGCTAGCCTGAGCTACAAGTGACAGAGTCTCAGAAAATATAAACCGAAGATAAAAATAAAATTATAATTATTATCAATCAGGATTTTCACCCCTGCTCTCCTGGGGGTCAAAAAGACATCTCTGCCCCAAGGCTGCTTAAAATGGGGTTGAGCATTGGTCAAGAGTCAACTTGCTAGTGACTGTGGCAGCGACCCTGCGAACAGACGAAGAACATTGGCCACCCCTGAGCTTCTCCTGAAGACACCACTTCCATAGAGCTGACATGCCTGGCCTCACAGCTTCGTAGCACAGCCGGTGACATCATGCTGAACCCAGTGCTAAGTAACAGGACTGGAACGGCGAGGGTTTAGATAGTTTTCACCTTGAGGGTTTAGATAGTTTTCACCTTGGGGCTCTGCAGTGTGAGGCTGGGTCAGATCCTGAGGAATGTCCCAGGGGCTGACAGAGAAGGCAGGCGGGGGCATCCCCAAGCAAGGTGGAGAGAGAAGGCTTGTATGTATTCAGGGCAAATTGTGAAAATACAGATATGTCAAAACATAAAATAAGACCCCATTCATCTTTACAAAGTATCCCTTTGCAATTTCTGTGCGTGTATGCGTGTGTGTGTGTGTGTGTGTGTGCCACTAAGGATTAAAGATGGAACCCAGAGTGCTCTTCTGAGCTATGCCCCAGCCCCACCTTTGCCTTTAGAGCTCTCTAGTCCTGCCCAGCTGCCAGTCCCCTTCTCATGCTGAGAATGACACTTTGATTGTCATTAATTATTAATGATTGATCATTAATAATCGTCTCGTTTTCCACACTAGTCGTACCCCATGCACATGTGTCTTTAAGGAGTGTATCTTGCAGTTTTATGTGTGAGGCTCTGCAAGTGCTGAGGCCGGAGGTTGTTTCCGAGCTCCTGAAAAGTTTCTGCACCCCAATAAACCTCCCTGCCAATGCAATAATCCAAATCAGACCAAATCAAGTTAGAAAAGGCCCAGGTTTAATGGATACAAACACTCTGATGGCTTTCCACCCCCCACCTCCCCGCCCCCACCTCCCCGCCCCCACCCCCCAGAGGAGAAGGGAAAGAAAGAAAAGAAAACCACGTGTTTGTTCTCTGGGGGGAGGGGGCGCTAAATAGCCTGTGGGAGTGGTCTTGAGCATCTCTGGGGAGAGGTCATAGATTGGCGGGCTTTCTCAGGGGCGGAGTCTGGTCTGAGACAACTTCCAGGGGAAGGGGCTTGTGGTGGAACTTCCACCCGAACATTCCAGACTCCTTGGATATAAGGATGCCAGCGGCTGGAGGGAAGCCTTCACCCATACACCTTCCTCAATCACCTTCCATGTTAATGTTTTATTTTGTTGTTGTTGTTGTTGTTATTTGTTTGTTTTTGAGACTGAGTAACTCTCTGAACTGGAGTTCACCTATTGGCTACACTGACTGTCCATCAAGCTCCTGTATCCTTTAGTCTCAAGGCTGGATTACAGGCCACCTCCAGCTTCCTCTATGGGTTCTGGAGATCCAAATCCAGACCCTCTTGCTTACAGAGCAGGCACTTCTTTAACTTTTTATATTTTTCAGCTGACTTTGTTCCACAAAGTGGTAGTGAGGCTCAGTCGTGTTTGCACTGTGACCATCTCTTGTTCATTTCCATTGCTGTACTGTACACTATTTCATTTTACACTTAGGACAAAATTATCCTTTCTGTCACCAATGGACATCTGAGTTGTTTTCAGTTATCTTGTATTGTAGGCACTATCGCTATCAACACTCTTATAAGTGTCTTCTGTTGTAAAGATTATTTCTAGATGAATTATCATTATTTTAGTTCATTTGTTTTTGAGATAGGATCCCACTTATATAGCCCAAGCTGGCCTAAACTTGAGATCCTCCTGTCTCAGCCTCCAGACACTGGTGTTACAACTATGCACAAACAAATCTGTCTCTAAATGGATTAGTGGGTTTTTTTTTTACCTAAGATATTTTTTCTTTCAATTCTGTATATTTGACTAGTGTTGGTATTTAAGGAAATTACATTTTAATATTTATTTTGTGTCCATGTTGCTTCAGGTTTTCATGGGAAACAATCATGTAAAGAAGGCAGGATATTTGGGAGGAGGTAGGGGACTAGCAAAGGGGGATGGTGAAAAGAGGGGAGGGAGAAAAGGGGAGGGGAGGAATAAGAGCGAAGTAAAATGGCACGTATACGAAACCCAAAACTTCACAGCAGCCTTCAAAAGTAAAATATATGATCATATCAACATCAACCAATAAGTATAATGATTTTGACTGCACCTTCTAAGTGATCCCACATCTTACTAGATCACAATAAACGACTATGGCCGTTCCAAGTGTCCTCACTCAATCTCTACCTTTGATGGGGCCGCCGTGGAAAGCACCATTTAGTAACATGTTGGCAGTTTCATGGAGGATTTGAGAGAGATATTTTTATCCTGTTTAGGCAGACTCTACTCAGCATAGTGTTGAATCCTGTCAAATACCCTTTTTTAGCTTCCCCTGAAATAGGCCTGGCCTCGCACTGAGCTGCTGGTGTGAGATGATGCCAGCACAGCTTTTCAGCGGCTCCGCTGTGCACTAAGCCAATTAGCATAGAGCAGAGAGCGGTTTCTGTCTCTTCTCAAGGTCGAAGGTATCACAATAACTACTTCCAAGCTTCCTCACCCTCCAAGGTTTTTCTTCTCCCAGAGTCTTTGGTTCAGAACTGAGGAGCGGACTAGGCCGTAGGGACAGTGACTGTTGAGTGACAGGACCCTGTTCTTACGCTAATGACAGCTCTCACAGAGCAGGTGAGGTGGAGCGGTGGTGGCGTGATTTCCTAATCTCAGTCACTACCCTGTGATTGGGGCTCTGAAATCAAAAGCTGCAGCTGGACTTCAACTCGGAAGCAGCTGCCTGGTAGAGTTAGCAACCATTTGGCCAGGGTGAGAAGCTCCCAAACCAGCGAGGTCTGGAGTTGAAGACCCAAAAGGTCCCTGTTCCATTGGGCTCCTCACCTGCCAATCTTGAGAAGCGGGAGACGCTGACTATGGGCAGGTAAGAACCACACTCTGCTCTCCTTAGATTTTAGCTGCGGACACTGTGGCATGGGAGAGCTGGGGTGTGTGTGCATGTGTGCACATGTGCGCATGTGCGTACAAGGAAGTAGAGAAGAAAGTACGGTAGCTGCTATCTGAGGGTACCCAATGGCTACATGGCTGACTACACCCCTCTCAACCTTCTAGCTTGTCATTGTATGTCTCTCTCACTCTTCTCCCTCCCCATTATCTTATCTGCTACCTCTTTTACCTCCAAATTACTAGGCTCTCTCAGAATTGGGGTGTAAGAGCAGCACTGCTGTCTGTGATCAGTGGCCCTTGGAAGATGGACTGTGTGAAAAGACCCAGGCAAGCATAAGGTCAGGTGCGTGTCAGTCAGAAGCCTGAATGCTGGTCCTGGCCTTGCCCTTGAACACCTTTCTCAAAGAGTCTAGGGCAGGATGGGCTGTTTGGAGTGGATGCTCAAAGCCCTTGAAAGTAACCTAAGTCTACTTGGCAAGCAGCAGTCCTTAGGCAGCCTTTTGCAGGAATTTCTCTCTTTTTTCCTTAGCCGTTGACAGACTTTTTATAGCCAGGGACACAGGGAGGCGCAGACACCAGGCTACTATAGGGATTTTTCTAATGGGAAAATGTTCGGTCAGTGTTTCAAAAGTACCGGACAGAATATTAGGACAAGGATAGGATGCTACGGATGAGTGTGGAGGAGCACATCTGTGGTGGAGCACACCTGTGGTGGAGCACACCTGTGGCGGAGCACATCTGTGGTGGAGCACACCTGTGGTGGAGCACACCTGTGGCGGAGCACACTTGTGGCGGAGCACACTTGTGGTGGTGCACACCTGTGGAGGAGCACACCTGTGGCACTTACAAGGTGGGGGGGATTAGGAGCTCAAGGTCATCTTCAGTATACAGATGAACTAAAGGCCAACTTGGGCTACAAGAGACCCTTTCTCAAAAAAAAAAAAAAAAAAAAAAAACAGAAAAAGAAAGAAATACAGTGGATTGAGTGGCTTGGGGGACAGACACTTCTTTCTCCTAGTCCTGACGTCTGTGAGCTAGGGAGGCGGTCTGGGTGGGGTCTGGTGAGGACCCTGCTCCTGGTTTATTTCTGTTCTCATTTGTCAGGAAAGGGGTTGGCAGAGAGAAAGCAAGTTCACCAGCATCTCTTCTTGTAAAGTCCCTCCTCCCATTACAGGGACCCATCTTTGTGACTTAACTACCTTCCAAGAACCTCATCTTCCAACAGCCATAATAGGGATTATGGCTTCAATACATGAAAGGGGGTGTCCTCAGTGGCTGGGTCCTTGGGTGACTGGACTGAAGTCTGGGCAAAGAGCAAGGAGACAGAATCAGCCTCTACAGCTGGGGATACGAAAGCAGCTCAGCACTGTGGGATGTGAGGGTAACTGCCGAGGTTTGCGAGAGCTGAGGCTGGAAGGACCCGTGGCTTCACATTGCCTGGCACGCCCATCAGGACGTAGATTCTGGGGTCCCCTCCATCCCGAAAGAATGAATGCCCATGGAGGAGACCATGGAAGTAGTCTTTTGCCAATGACCAGGGAATCTGCACGTGCCCTGGTCAGTCTTGTCCCTAGGACCCCAGGTACCCAAGGGGCACAGAGCACCGAGTCTGGTTCCTGCTGAAGAGATGTTTGAATGTCCTGCCTATAAGACCTGCTGCTGGGGCCACCTGCCTCCTTCCTTCACCATGTGCCTGTCCAAGTACAAGACAGAGAGCTGGGGAAAGACAGGTTTCCAGCTGGGCGAGCTCCCTTAGTCTGTGCAGCAGGGCACAGACAAATCTCCCCCACCTTGTTTCTGCTTGGCTGGACTCTAGCCTTGTGAGCTGGAAGGACAATCTTTCTCCTTTCTCTGTCCTAAGTGAAACCCGACTCACACCTGGGCTCCTCAGCCCTGCTGGGTTCAGAGCACCGTGGCGAAGCTGGGGAGGAGGGGAGGCCTGCCTGTCCTTCACCCAAGGTGAATCTGAGGCTTCTAGGAGGGAGGTCCCTGTAGCTGCTCACGTGGATGAGGCGCTGTGTGTTTGGCCGGCCCCTCTCACACCCCATCTATGCTGTGTGTACGCTATTCCTTCTCAAATGCGTCTTCCTACCACTGGCTAACCTCTGCTTGTTCTGAGCCCCCGTTCTCTGAGACACCACTTCGCACACGACACCTCACCTCAGTCAGCTGTTCCAGTCTACACCACCCTGCGCTAGACTGACCTGAAACTAGAACACAAAAGTGGACACACCTGTCCCCTCCTGCTTCAATTTTGCTGCAAACTCCTCAAGGTCCTAATCGATGGTGCTTCATTCTGTTCCCCAGTCCCTGGCACACCACAGGAGCGCAACAGATATCTGGGGAAACAAGCGGAATCTGGCCTAGGAGAAAGGTGCCCTCTTTGTTTGGGACAGGTCTTGCTATGCAGCCCCTAGTGGGACTTCCTGTCCATATAGCCCAGGCTAGTCTCAAATCTGTGGCATTCCCTTTGCTTCGGGTTCCTGAGCAATGGGTTTATAACCTACCACACCCACGTGACAAGACGATTTAACATAGAATGTAAAGAATTTGCTCTTTGCTATATTTAGGATTGGAGGCTTCTCCTCTTCCCCAGACAGATTAATGAGTAAACCAAAGGTGACTGCTTCCATCTTAGAGGGCCAGAGGGAAGGCAGGGCTCCTTTAAATATTAAACCTTCATTGAAACTTACAGAAATCTGCCTTACAGATCATTAACTTCTGCCACAGGAAGGAACCAGGAGCCAGTAGGGGTCTGAGTTCGGAGAAGAACCAAGGCAGACTACCTTGGAACCAGATAGGTTTGGGTTCATAAAGTAGCTACACCAGCTGTGTGGCCCAGAGCAAGTCAATGTCTCTGGACCTCAGATTTCCACATTGCCAAAGTGGAGGCACACTGCATTATTAAGAGAGCCCATGAAGTACCTTAGTTTTGAAGGTCCCAGTGGCAGGCAGCAACTGCACTGTGATGTTGCCTGGCGAAGACATGAATGGGCTAAGCTGTTCTCAGGGTTCACCTTGGACACCAGGAAGAAGGTATGGCAGGTAGAATCCAGAGAAGGGCCACCCCCTCCTTGATAGCACATTTTCTATATTGAAAAATTTACCCCCCCCAATGATTATCATTATTATTATTATTCAGCTTTACTTTATGTGTATGGGTTCTGTGACGGTTATCCTTGGTTGTCAACTTGACTCTGCCTCGAATGAACTACAATCCAGAAATGGAAGGCACACCTGTGATCCGGATCTCGAGGCAGGTGACACAGGCTTTTGATCTGGATCTTGAGGAGGTAAGAACACCTTTAATCTGAACCACAGCTTCTGCTGGAAGCCTGTGTAGGGATGAGGGAAGAAGGAAGGGGTTGTTCGTTCTGTTTGCCCTTGCCTTGGCAGCACATCCGTTCCTTCACCGGCGTTGGAGCCTTTGGGATGCCACCGTATACAGAAGACCAGGTGAGACACCCAGCCTCGTGGGACAGAGCAGCTACTGGATCCTTGGGCTTGTGGTCCTCCTACCTCTGTTCTCTTAAGTGTTAAGATTACAAGTGTGTACAACCCAGTTCAGGTAGTGCTAGGCATCAAACCCAAACCCAGGGCCTCACGCTTGCTAAGGGAATTTCTCCCGGCTGAGCTACATCCCAACCTGATTCGAAGTGTTTGGTTTACTTTGTTGACAGGGTCTCACTGTGTAGCACTGGCTGATCTGAAACTCACAGAGATTCACCTGCCTCTGCCTCCTGAGTTCTGGGATTAAAGGCGTATGCCACCACCGCCCAGCTTCAGTTTGAGGTTTTAAAGACTAAACATCTCATATTGTGCTACAGATGCGAACAACTGCACTGAACAGTGTGATGATCGAAGTCCCTAAGTCTTTGGAGACCTGCACTTACTAGCTTGGTCCTGACTGTTCACTGAATCTGCACAAAGGGACAAGACAATAGTGCTGGACTCCTGAAGTCACAGAATGCCTGTCCAAGTAGACAGACCCCTCACCCCTACCCCATAATATGAGTCACCACCATGACTGATCATCTCATGAATGATGTGATCAGCATTAAACCAAAGCAGAAAGTGCCTCGTTTAAGGAACTACTTATTCTGGGAACATGGCAGGGGGTGCCTCTGACTCTGTTAACCAGAGCTGCAGTGAGTGAGTTAGATTCGCTTACTTATATGGGGTTTGCCCTTTGGTTCCTAAATTGGTCCTGCTGTCAGTTCCTGACAGTCTGCTCGGATCTGGGCCGGATTACCTGCCCAGGGTCTTCCTCCCACAGGCCAGGGAAGGCAGACATCCTTTTGGTTTCTGAGTACTCAGACGGAACCCAGGACCTCTGGCACAGTAGGCAAATTCTCTACCCCAGCACTACATCCTCAGCCCATTTCTTCACTTTTCATTTCGAGAAAGGGTCTCACTAGATTGACTATGTTGGCCTTGAACTAGCAAATCCTCCTGCTTCCGTCTCCGGATCAACTGGGATTACAGGCACACACAGCACACACACGGGGCAGAACTGGTTTTTCGCTTACGTGCTCTGCTCAGACCTTTAGCTTTGTGCAGTAGCTACACTGCCTTCTAGCAGCTGCCCCCCACAAAAAATTAATTATTCTAGTTGAGGTAAAATGTGCTGGCGAAAGGGACGATGAATGAGCATGTTCTCTTTTCAGAGGTTTTGGATATATTCTGGTTCCTCTTACTGTCTCACCCCACACACACACACACACACACCCAAAAAAAAAATTTGGTTTGGACATTAGAGAGACTTGGTCACCTCCCTCTTTTTCCATGGAGAACGCTCCATGGATCTAGGGCACAGTTGTCAGCCCTCTGTCGCTCGTTCAGCAGAGGCCTGAACCCAGCTCTGTTCGGGGATCCTCAGCGCCCGGAGAACCGGTCCCTTCCAATGTGGCTGGCAATGCAGACCCCACTTTTGGCTGCCTGTGTGAGCTGTCCACTCCGGCTTGCTCTGGCGTCTCCGCAGAGCCAGAGCAGCGGCCAATGACCTTGACCTAGGAGGGCGCCCAAGGTCGATGTAGCTGGTTCTTCGGGGAAGTCCACCTACTCCACCCGAAACGTTCTCTACCCCCAGCGTTCCTCAGCTTCCCCTCCAGTGGAGCTGGTGTAGTGGGTTGAAACGTGGCACCTCCGGCACCCCGGCTGCGCCTCACCATCACCTCGGCTCCCCTCCGCCTTCGCGCCCGCGTGCCCTGGGGGGAATTTGCTCGGCGTCCCGGACGCGGTTCGGTGGCAGCCAGTGCGCCCCACACTCAGGGCGCATCCCCTGCTGTCTGGGAGGGGAGCGGAATCGCGGCTGCTCCTGGCTCCCAGCGTTCGCCCCGTAGGAGCGGCCACGACCCCGGGAGGACGCGGGAGGCTGGGGGTGGGGACAGGCAGAGGTCGCGGCTCCTCCAGCCCCTTCCGCCGCCCCTCCTCTAGCCTTCCTCGCCCTCTCTTCCCTGGCCGGCCTCTCAAGCCGCCCGCCCGCTGGGCCTTTCACCTTCTGGCAAAGCCAGGGAATAGCGGTCGCGGCGGGGCCTGGGGCGCAGCACACTCCCGCTAGCCCGGCCTCGCCTCGCAGGCCCCGGGGCCGAACGCCATCCCAGGGGCGAGGCCTTCGGGCCACACTCCCGCCTTCCCGGATTTAGGGCGAGTCCTTCCCGGGACTCTGAAGCGGCCCGGGACGGGGAGCGAGCGCGGGCTGGGGCCTCGCCTCTCCGAGGGATGCAGGGGATGGAGGCGGCAGTGAAGCCTGCGCGCCGCGCTCAGTGAGTACGGAGAGGAGCCGGGAGGGGTGGCGGGGCGCAGAGGGGACCTGGGCCGCCCGAGACCCGACCTCCCACCGCCTTAGAGCCGGAAGAGTTGAGGAGGCCCGCTCTTCACGTCCATTTTCATTCCAGTTTTCCTGACTTAGAGCATCGGTGCTGCTAGAAGCGGAGGGCTCGATAACTGTCTTCCGGGAAGACCGTCCAGAGGCCTTCACCGGGAGCGTCATGTTCTTTAAAGTCTGCAGACAAGGATGTCTGGAGTGCAGTTCCAGAGTTTACCGGCCCTGAAGATCTTTGGGTTTTACTGAAAGGGCTCATGTTACAATCCCAACCCTGGCCTCTGGATTGGACCTCAGAGGAGAAGAGGTAGCTGGGCTGCAAAGATAAACCTAGTGTAGTCTAGATCACTGGCTCTCACCCTTCCTAATGGTAAAACCCTTTAACACAGTTCCTCTTGTTGTGCTGACCCCCAACCATAAAATTATTTTCGTTGCTACTTCACAACTGTAATTTCGATACTGTTGTGAATCGTAATGTAAATATCGGTGTTTTCCAATGGTCTTAGGCGACCCTGTAAAAGGGTCTTTCTACCCACAGGTTGAGACCTGCTGCTGTAGGTGATCCGGTAGAGGAGATGACTGCTGTCCTAAAGACAATCCTTAAACTTCACAGAGTTACTTCCGTGAAACTTGATTTATATCCCCGAAAAGCATATAAACTGAATGTAATAAATGACTGTAGAAGTTAACCCTTTAAGAACATCTTGTGGTGGATCCTTATTGTGTGAAGGGAGTAATTAGCTCCTAATCTGTTGTTTATGCATGGATTCCTTATCCACGGAGTTTACTTCATGTGGGACACATCTAGACATAGGATGATTCCTCAGAGTGACCTGACAGAGTAACCGTTAAGACCCAGGAGCATGTACAGTGAGTAAGACAGTTGCTTCTTTCCTTATGGAAGGCCATTGGAATCAGCCCAGCCACCGCTGGGCTGTATCACACTAGTGAGGCTGGTGACCTCTGCGGACTCAGATCATACCTAAGAATAAGGGGCTGCAGTTAAACGCTAACTGTCCTGGCAGAGTCCTGGAGTGAAAAGCTTCTGGTTATAAGCCGGACTCCCCCATGGCACCCATGGGGTGTAATTTCTCCGTGCCTCAGTTTCCCCACCTGTGGAAAAAAAAGAAGATACTAATAGCATTCTAGCACAGACACGTCGGAATTATCTTAGAGAATGTTGAAATGTTTGAAAAGTCTTAGTTTGTGACTGTCCCTGTCTCCTCTTGAGTACGGCTTAACTCTGGCCAATGGCTTTTGCATTGGGGCTGGCATGAGGCTGGCAGGCACCGCTTCTACTGGAGGCCCAGGTCCTTCATCCAGAAGGAGGAGCATGTTGGCCTTTAACCAGCATTCTCCGAGGCCGTCCTTTAGCCCAGCGTTGGGAAGTCACACTGCTTTTCACAGTACTCCACATTTGCCATAGGATTCGTTATCTGAAGCCTTGCTCTGTTTATCTGTAAAATGGGTTTAGAAAAGCCAGGAACACAGCACACATAAGGCCCCAGACCCTCGGAGAGACTGTTGACAGGTAGTGGTTGCTTGGGAAACAGTGTCATTTTCTTCAGTAGTGCAAACACTGGTACGTTGTCCATGCTCCAGGAAACACCCCCGTTCCTTCCTCGCCCATGAAAGAATATTACTCATAAATTCAGCAGTAATGTGTTCACACTATTCTTTGACTTGTCCTTTCCAGTGTGTGTCCACATTATGTAGTGAACACCCCTCTATGCTGTCTTGATATCTGAGCAGGGGTCCATATCAGCGCACTCTGGGGGACCAAGCAGGTTCCTGGGCCATCCAGGTACAGGGTTTCAACTTCTCCTTTATCCTGCAGAGCATCCAGGCCAGGGAGCAGAACACCCAGCACCATGCAAGTGACTCCAACTGTGGCCAGAAATGGTCCAGAGCAGCCGGACAGCGGACCTCTCCCAGGACCCACGCTCTGCCTCCGGGGAGACCGGATGCCTAGCCTGGTAGCTCCCAAGCCTCCCCGGACATGGAAGCTGCAGCTCCAAGGCCCCTCTGTGCTCGAGTCCAAGGTGAAGGCCTTGAAGGAGAAAATGACAGCAAGGAAACAGGGGGCAAATCCCTGCCTCACTTCCTATGAGCGTCCACCGCCCCCCAAATCCAAGTGCTGCCAAGTCAAGCCCGAAGCTGTCGGGAGCCTACTTGAGGGCTCTTCTGAACTACCAGATACCCCGGTGGTTACCCATGCTCAGAACCAGATTGATGGGCAGCTAGACAGCAGTGTTAATGAGAAGAAACCTGCCAGGAATGGTGGATCCAGGCCATCTACCCCTGGCCTCGAGAGTTGCAATGGACAAAGCCTGTGGTCTCCAGAAGCAGCGTGGCTGCTGGCTGATCATGAGGCTGGCCCGGCACCAGGATCTGGCTCTTTACAAGAGGGCCCCAACAACCAGGTTTCTGTGGGCCAGCCAGAGGGGCCTGGTCCCTGCAAAACCACCCACCTGAGCAGCCTGAAGAAGAGAAGACCCTACCCACTTGGAGCTGGGGTGGTGACAGAGAGAGATCTAGACAACAGAGCCCTAACAACCTCCAGGGAGCACTTAGTCCCCAGAACAGACCTGCCAGAGATGTTCCGGAGAGCTGGTGGCCTAGAGGCACAGGGCACTGGGACAAACGCTTTGTCCCTGTCTGAACAGGTGGAAAAGAACCGCCTCCTACTGCAGGAGATGCTGAAAGTTTCCAGACAGAGTTCTTCCACGGTGGGAAGCCCAGACTGCACTCCATCCTGGGACAGGGCTGCATCAGGTCAGTCTCATTTTGCTGGCCTGGTTTGGAACAAGTGGGAACTTGTAGGGAAGCTGGAAAGATGGGAGAACATGATAATGTCACCCAAATAATTGGTGTCCAGCTGGAACATAAGGTCCTTTTATACCTCCCAGGCAGCCTTAACTGCCTCACCCTGTGGCTCTCCAGATCAGTGGGAGGCCATCCTTTGTGCTTGGGGGACAGAGGCTACGTGACTCTTCCCTGTGCCTTGTAGCTCTTTGCAGAGTGGCCTTTTGCTCTCCCTCTGATGCTGTCCTGTGTCACCCCCATTGTGCTTTGTGCCCTCGGGTGGGCTAGCAGCAGGAGCACTTCCCTGCAGAGGTTGTTCAGAGCGCCACAGGAACACTGTTGGGTGTGTGCTCAGACTCTAAGAGACATCCTTTCTTAGCTTTTTCATTGCTGTACCTGAGGGCGTGTATGGGGTCCTCTTCAGCTATTCTGGGTTCACTCAGTCTTTGTGACAGCCTGTGCCTCCACCTCTCAGACCAGAACCTGGGTCCCAGTCCCCCCCACTTTCTAATCTCATCATCCTGGAGATTAGACTTCAGTGTGTTACTTTTGGGGAACATAGGCCTACAGCCCACACAGGGAGCAGAGCATCTCTCCCGAGTTCACCGAGTAGCAGCTGAGAGCCCAGTTGGTAGCTCTGTCCTGATCTCTGCTTCTGCTCTGGGCCCTAGAGAGACCAGCGGGAGACGTGGACTGGGACTCGGGCACCCCCCTGCAGGACTCAGGTCAGAGCAGGTAAGGGCTCTTCCTTACCTCCATTCCTCCTTTACTCTGCACTAGATCAGCAGGAAACCTAGCAAAGACCAGAGGATAAAAAGGCAAACATTCACCAGTGGATAGTGGCCACGGCCAACCATCGTCCTTGAGACTCTGTGGAAGGTACCAGGCTGCTGTCTGCCTATCAATTAAGCAAAGCCACTAGGTGCAGAGGTCTGCAGAGCCTTCCAGTTACCTGCTCTGTGTCCTGGAGGCCATTTCCCCTGCCTAGGCTTCTGTTTCTTTCGAGCAGGAGGAATTGAGACGTCATAGCTATCTGATTAGTTCATAGGGTTATTGCAAAGATAAAGGGCATGGATGTGAAAATTATTAGGGAAAGTACTTCAAACCCAAAACTTCAACCCCTCCTATTCTTTTCCTAATCAGAGGAATGCGCCGGGCTCAGGGTTAAGGGTTCCCCTCCAGCCTCTCACTGGGACCCACGGATTGTTTTCTAGCCCTTCCATCATTGTTTCGGGGAAGCTGGTGTCCAGAGTATGGTGGGTGGATGGAGGCGGTGTCCTGAGCCTGGAAGAGTGGAAAGAGAGGTGTGGTGGGGGCTACGTGGAGGTCTGAACTAGTGCCCACTTGGAGGCTGGCCCCAGCCTTAGCCTTTGCTGGGATGTTGGCCCATGAGGCTGAGCTAGGCCCTGGGACTGGGAGTGGCTGACATTTCCACAGCTGCCCATGACATCAGTCTCTGCAGAGTCCCATGATGTCTGCCCACAGCTGTCAGCTTTGTTCTTAATGGCCAGGCTGCTCCCCGGGTAGCCTATTGTCCCCCTCAGAACACGGGTAAGACCTTTCTCTGCCTTCCTTAGCCCATGCCGGCTGCTGTAACAAAATGCAGCCGGTAACTTAGAAATCTCAGGCATGTCATGCGTGCAGTTCAAGGGTGGTAATCAGTCCCCCTTTCCCGATCCCCTCACACTGGGGGTGAGATTCCAACATGAAAATTTTGGGAAACATAGCCCCATCTCTGCTTCTGCTCTAGCAAGATGAGGGTGCCCAGAGTCAGGTAATCAGGGTTGCGCTCAGCTGGTGGTGGTGGAGGGTGTGGAAAGAGGGATGTCTGGCCCTTTAGTCCCTCTGTGTTCATGTCTGGTCTCTTCTGCCTTCCTGGCTGCTGTCCTCAGCCCTCTCATCACACCCTTCTCTGCCCTGCCCCTATGGCCTTCAGCATCCACTGCTCCCTGTGTAGCGACAGAACCCCTCCCCCTGCAGTGCTGCACTCTCCCTCGACTCCCCAGGCAACACAAGGAAACACAGCTTTGAGGTCCTCAGAGAAAGAAGGGCAGCCCCTGGCTTGCACTGAGATAAGTAAAAACAACAACAACAACAAAAAATATACCCTGCTTCTCCTGATGGAGTGACTCAACCAGGAGATGGAAGGACCTTCACACACGTCTGTGAGGATGTTTAGAGCTCCCAGGACTAGACTCCCAGTTTAGTTTAACCTGGCAGGCCATCTTTACCCATGGGCTATGTAGCAGGGTTCATGCAGAGAGGCAGGTGTGATGGCACATAGCTGGCATCTCACCCCTTGGCAGGCTGAGGCAATAGGGCAACAAGTTCCATGCCTGCCTGCACTATATAGCAAAACCTTGTCTAAAAAAGAGACAGACAGACAAAGAGATCTCAGGTATGGCTTGTATGTATATGTATTGTATGATTCGTGTGTGTGTGTGTGTGTGTTGTATATGATGAATCAGTGTATGTGTCTGAGGGGAGATATACACACACAGAGAAAAACAGACAAACTTGTTTTAGGACCCTGTTCAAAGACTAATAAAATGTCTCCTTAGAGTGCCTGACATGTAGAGCCACAGGCATGAAGGGCAAGTCCCTGCTAGGTAGAAACTGGCTGAAGGGCCAGGAAACATAGGTTCAAGGAAGAGAAAGTGCCAGCCCCACTGTGATACCTTAAGACATGGCAGGGCTCCCGTCTGAGTGAGATAGTTTAAAGGACACTACAGCAACGGAACCCACATTGACCAAAGACTTGGTTTCCCTGGCTCTGTGCCCCAGGAGTGCCACAGGATCTGTGCTGAGGGGTGTAGGACTCTGGGCAGAGCAGTGCTCTGAGGTAGTAACTGACCATTTCAATGGCCACCCATCAATGTGTACCATGGCACAATGGCCACTCATCATTGCGTGCCGTGGCACAATGGCCACGCATCAGTGCGTGCCGTGGCACAATGGCCACGCATCAGTGCGTGCCGTGGCACAATGGCCACGCATCAGTGCGTGCCGTGGCACAATGGCCACGCATCAGTGCGTGCCGTGGCACAATGGCCACGCATCAGTGTGTGCCGTGGCACAATGGTCACTCATCAGTGTGTGCCGTGGCACTTCACTCTTAAAGCATTGCAGACCTTCTGAGGGCTTGAAGAGCAAATGAGTCTGAGTCCCATTCTGTCAAGTTTAGAATCTGGATTATTTTTTTTTAAAGATTTATTTATTTATTGTGTATACAGTATTCTGCCCACATTCATGCTTGCAGGCCAGAAGAGGGCACCAGATCTCATTACAGATGGTTGTGAGCCACCATGTGGTTGCTGGGAATTGAACTCAGTACCTTTAGACGAGCAGGCGGTGCTCTTAACCTCTGAGCCATCTCTCCAGCCCTAGAATCTGGATAATTTATGTTACAATCAAATAACTGTGACAGCCAGGTTAGCCCAACATGCTCTTAATTGTCACTGTTCTGCAAGGTAAGACGACAAGTTCACAGAATGGCCTTGCTTGCAGAGTCCAGTGTCTGAGTCTGGGGTATCTGGGCCAGCTTGTTGCAAGGCCTGAAGGAGTCATCCATGGAGGTGAGCCACCTAAAGACTCAGGGCCTCAGATCCTGCAGGGGACCTCCATCCCCTGCGCGCAGAGTTGTTTTCTATTAAGGGTCAGGCTTTTGCTCAGCCCTATAGGCCTAAAATATACTAGTGGCCAGATGACAGAGCAGGCCAGCCACTGCCATTTTCACCCCCTGGTTATGTGCCAGGTGCTATGTAAGTGCTGTTCCTGCATCTCACTTTGCCTGTGCACACATCTTAGCCGTTGTTCCTGCTTTACTGGCAGAGGCTCCAGAGGAGGCCAGGTGACATGGAGTCAGGACTTGCACTCAGACCCCAAGACTTATGCTCTGACCGCCTATGGGGCACTGCCTTGAGCTGTCCTTTCCATGTCTCTGTAGGCCAGCCCTTGGGTAAGCAACCCTTGGGCCTTCTACCTCCCTCCAGCCTGGCCTGTTCTCCGCTGTGGGCCAGCTTGTGTGTGTCCGTGTGCTTTCCGGTGGAATCCCCCCCCCCCCACACACACACACTTTACTGTCATCACTCTCTGCCCACTGGCACGGCCTGCCCCTATGCCACCAGTGCCTTCTCTGGTGTCTTTCTCCTTGAATTCCTGGAGACAGAAACAGGTGCTCATAAAATGTCCGTCAGAGGAGGCAGGAGAGAACTGAGGGAGGGCTCGCTGACAGCCAGAGCCTGTGAGGGCTTGCAAGGGTCTGGGTGGAAGCTGAAGGAGCATTCCAGATGGGTGAGGCTGAGGAAACGCTCGGGAGCATCTGAGGTGGAATGTGTGGTGATCCGTGGAGGGTAGCCACCCGCCCGGGGAGAGCTGGAGTGAGATCTCATCTGAATACAGAGGCATCCAGCGGTCTCCTTCCTGCCCCCACGGCCTCCTCCTGCACAGAAGGAGGACTTCAGCTCCTGGAAACACGGGTGGATGTGAGTCCTGTGGGCTAAGAGCATCGGGGACCTGGGAAGAGAGTTTGGAAGCCATCTTGAGTCACTGGCCAGTTTTTGTATCTTCTGGGCCCAGAGTGTCAGAGAGTTATGAGCCTTGTAGCAAGACTAGGGGACAAGACACAAGACACTGGTCAGCTCCAGCGTTCTAGGGAGCCATAGAGGTTGTTGAGGAGCGTACAGGGTAAGATGTCACTGAAAGGGGTCGAGCCCCGTGTGGCTTGCTTACCCTTATCCTGCACCAGCCATGTAGATGTACAGACACAAAGAGAGCTCTGTGCTTGCAGTCCCAGGAGACTCAAAGGAAAAAGAAAACACAACAGAACAGTACCCCAAGCCTTTAGTGCTTAACCAGTTCCCCAGTGCCCAGTGTTCTGTCCCCTGTGTTGATCCCACTGAAAGCCACTGCTAGAACCTTCAGGTGGACTGTCCCATGCCACGCTTGACTCCACACGCAAAATTCTCATTGTGACTCCATCCTGAGCAGGGAGGAGCTCACAGAAATGGACAGTGTCAAGGTAGGACTAAGCTGACCTCACCAAAGGCCTTTCTGGGAATGTCTCAGACATCTGCCGCTCTGGCTGCCCGTGTGCCCATGAACCCAGGCAGTGCTGACCTGGCCAGTGCCAGGCCTTGTTACTGGGGAATTTGTCATCGTTCTTTGGGAATGTGGGACAGGCCTGTTCTGACCTGCCAGAGACCTTTCTTCTTCTCTGCGGAAGGAAGAGCGAGCATGGGCCTTCCTCCGCTCCCTGTCAGCCTCCTCCTGTCCCGTGTGGAAGTCACCTTTCCAACAGAGCTTTTGACAGTCTAGAGCAAACCCAGCAAGCCCTCTCAAATTGCCCGCAGATTGTCACTTCTAAACATGCCTTTCCCTTGCCAGCAGCAGGGTAGTCTCACTGGTGGGTGACCTTAGTTCATGCTCAAAGGTCCCCACACCCAGAGTGAAGGGGTGAAAGTGACACCGTGCTAGTAATAGAGCAACAGTAGTAAATGCTGACCATGTTTGAAGAGACCTTTTCTCCCAGATTAGCAGGTGGGGAAACTGACGCCGCTAGGAAGAGATGGCCCAGGGCTGAGGACGTGGGCAGGTCACCCTGACACACTGTAAACCACCTCCTTAGGTTCCATCCTGTGGCTGTCCTGCAGGCGGAAGAAGGGTGCGCCCCAACAAGCCTGAGCTCTCCACCAGTGCAGACACACTCCTCGATCCCTCAGAAGCAACAGTAAAGACCTCTGTCCTTGGCTAGCACAGGCTTTAATATACACAAGTGGAGAGTAACTAAGCAAAGGCCTTGGATATTCTCTGTGTGCTCCGGGCTCTCCCGTCACTGTTTGCCTCCTGGAGTCTAGTCCTGGTTCACATTCCTGAGATGAAGGGGTTAACCCCAGACTTGCTGGAGTTTTTCATTGTAATCCTGGCTTATGCTGGCTGCAGAGAAATGTCTCTGTCCCCTTGACTTTTCTGAATGGGAGAGCTAAGGGTCTCCTGATCTGCCCAGCTCTTGGGGTGCTAAAGTCACTGTTTAACTTTTCCCCCGCTCCAAGAACCTGGCCTAGAGCAGAGGGCCAGAGTCACAGGCTCCCTTTGTCGTCAGGATGCAGCTAGCAGAGGGTAGAGGCGAGGACCTGGACACATCTGTGGACCTGTAGCTTCCCCCAATATGTAGTTCTTTGGGTGACCACTCCACAAGAGCCAGTCCTTGGTCCAAATGCCCCCTAAGTGGGAACCTCAGAACCCCCTCCCCACCATAGCCGGCCTGGCCGAAGACCCAGACTCAGGGTAGCAGTGTAAGCCCTCTCTCTCTTATAAAAGCTCATGTTTACTGATGGGAAACTGAGGCCCTGGAGGGAAAGCACGCAGCCACCTTATTCCTGTGCCCTACCCACAGAGGTAATGGACTACAGAAGCTCGGACTTCAAGAAGGTGATAAATACTGTTTGTTTGTGGGTAGTATTGCCTGTGCCTGGCTGCACACTGCCTGACTTGGCCAGGAAATTTTCAAAGGAATTGAAAGAGCTGGGACTGTGGGTTTTAATTCATGATAGGAAGGATTGGTTCTGGGGCTCCGTGCCTCCCTCTGGTCCAGGATCAAATGAAAATAGAGTCTTCCTCAGTTGGAAGTTTGAACCCCAGCTTTGGGGAATGGAGGGCCACCAGTGGTGAGGAGATACCTGCTTGGTGTGTGTGGTGCCTGTTTGCTCCTCCCCTCAGGAGAGAGAGAGAGACCTCCCACTCTTCCCCAGCGGGCAGAGCCCCCATCTCCTGGGTGCACAAAGTCCTTGCTTTGCTGACCTTGGCTGCAGTCTGTGAAGGTGGCTGCTGCTCTCCTCCCTGCTTGCTGGGTTGCTGCATAGACGCCTCCAGGCGGCCAGAAAGCCTGCCTTTCTAATCAGTGGAGAAACCAGCTTTGTCTGCCAGACTGAGGCAGGGCAGTAGATGAAGGGGGTGGGGGTGGGGGGTGGACAGCTGTTCCAAAAAGGAAACAGCAAAGCTGGAAATGGCTTAGAAACCTGGAGGCGAGGCTGATCGCAGCAGCATCCGGCCAACTGCCGAGGGGCTCTCCTGCTTGCCCACCAGGCCTGTGACAAATGCCCGCCGACAGTCGCAGAAGCACAGCTGTCACCGGAAAGCTGTGAGCATGCAGGCTGGTAGCCAGAGGCCCGCGGCTGCAGGAGAACCTCTGCCTGGTAGCCTCATTATCTCTGCTGTTGGAACCGGAGCCCCCGGGAGCACAGCTGCTCTCAGCTGCGGTTTGGGGAGCTCTGGAAGCCATGTCAGGGGAGCCTCTCCTGCCAATGGAGGCCTCATGGGGGCAGCAAGCCTGGAGAAGGACTTTTTTTTTTATTTTTTTTGCATCACTCCAATGAAGCCCTCCTTCCAAGCCTGGCCTCGCCCTGCCAGAGCTCATGGCACAGATGGTCCCTTTATGCCTGCAGCCTTTCCTCCTCTGGCCCAAAGCGGTGTTCAGAACACATGACAAGAAGAAAACAAAAACCCGTCATCTGCTCAGAGCCAGTTCAAGGGTGTCCCAAGGAGCCCTTGTCCTGAAGGCCTTTGTCCACTCCTGTCATGAGAGTCCCTCATACGTCCTGAGGTCAGGGTGGAGCCTCCCACCCCGTGTAGCATATGGATGGAGTAAGGGGTACCCCGGGTGTGAGAGCTAAGCCCTGCTGAACCTTTAACTGAGTTCTCTTTCTGGGGACCCTCCCTGTGAGCAGAGCCAAGCATGTGCGACAGCGTGGATGCTGGAGTCACATCAAAGCCCCTCTGACCTCAGCCACAGACATCCCTGCTCTCCCTGGCGCCCTCGGAGGAAGGGGGACAGGATGTGAAATGAGGCTAGAGACTGGAGCTGGCTGTCCTCTGCCTCACTCTGCTCAGTTTTCAGTTGATGTTCGACCTTGAGCGGTGTGTCAATACTCCCCTCCAGTGCATTCGCCTAATCTGTCAAGTTCAGGAACACCTGCCCTCATCCAGCCCGGCTGTGAAAAGCGAGCTGTGCAGAGAAAGCCATCTTGTCACGGGGAATGTGGACTGTTACTTCCATAACCCAGAGCAGCTGGAAGACAGCTCTGGACAGAGGTGCCCGTCATTCCCGCAGCTCTGGACTGGCGGGGACGGGGAGGCAGCACATCTGGTGGGTGGCGTTTACCACCACATGACCCTTATTATTAGGAAACTCGAGCTATGTGCTGGCTTGTTTGAATCCAGCTTAGTTTCTCTCTGCCCTGTGAGCCCTGAGCTGACTCCTGACAGGTCTGGATTGAGATTATGAGAGGAAAACACCAGGATTTAGGAAACGTCATCTGCCAAAGGCCCAAGACTGACAGGCAGTGCCTTGGTCCTGTGTCTTTGATAGGAGCTGGGGACAGTTCTGTGTGGACTCCAGTGGGGGTGTGTGTGGACTCTGAGAGACAGAAGGAGACAGGGAGACCATGCATGGAAAGACCATCTGTCTGGGCACAGACCCAGATCCATAACCCAAGGACCTTCCTTTTCCTCTTTCCAAAAGCTCCTGCTTATGCCCTGAAGGAACAATAAGACAGCCAGACTCCCCAGCCCCTTTTCCAGCCCCTCCCAGCAGATATCCAAGGTCAGGTTGGCTCCCCAGCTCCTGTCTGAGCTCAGGGTGTTTCCCAGGCCTCAGGGAGTGGGATGGGGTGGGGAGGAGGGAGCCCTATGTGTGAGTTAGAAGGGGAAGGCTGTATATACAAGGCTTTTCCTGGCAGAGCTGTGCTTGATACCGTTAAAGCCTCCTAAGCCGTGTTATTTTCTTTTAATCCCCGTGCTGTCCATCCTGGCCTGTGCTACCCTGCAGGATCTGCGTTCCCAAGCTGGAGCCTGTTCTGAGTGCCAGGTATGAGGGATCCAAGCATCTGACTCAGCATGCTCGCATGAAGGCCAGGACTCAACCACTCCGAGCCAGCCATGATATTGTGCCCACCATTGCTCAGGGCAGCCGGTGAGTGGAGCCTAAGCCAGGCTGGCCTGGGAGGGCTTGTGGCAGGGAAGGGTCACTAGCACAAATAGTTCCTATATAGCCAGAAAGCATTTGTTCTCTTCTCTCCTGTCTCCCTCCCTCCCTCTCTCTCCTCTCCCTCCATCCTTCCCCACTCTCTTTATGCATGTGTGTGCCTATGTTTTCTGTGTCAGGCACTTGCCATGATCATTTAGTCAGTCAACACATCATTCCCCATAAGATGAGATATAAAGATAATATCTATGTGACCTGAGCTCTCTGGGGGCATCGAGATCACAGTCTCCAGGGAGAGAGACAGCCAAACACCCAGTCGGGTCTGTGGGTTCTAGTGGAAGAGGGGAAAAGCATGTGTGCAGAGCTGGCAGCATTTGCTCCACCTGGAAGGGACAGGCGAGGCTCTCAGGATGTGGCTCCCCAGATGGGGCTTATAGGAGCTGTGAATCTTCCCTGGGTAGGGAGGAAGGGGCACCATGCTAAGGGATGGGAGCTGTGAGAGGCAAGGCTGTGCTCAGAGCTCAATCAGCTTGGAAGAGAGAAATGTGTCAAGTGCAACATGAAGGCTAGAGAGCTCCTTAGAGGCCGGCCATGGGGGCATGCCAGGCCTGCTGAACATCGGAGCATGAGTCCTGTACTAGTGTGGGGCCGCAGAGATGGGTAGACAGGTGGGTTAGAGTTAGGGTTATACTAGCATGCTCACGGGCCCCTAGCCAGAGGGTGATGCCTGGGTTCAGGGTCAGGCTGGAAATGCCCGTTGGACAGCTGGGTGCAGGATCATTGGCGGTGAGGCCAGAAACAGAGATGTGGGTACCGTGGTGACGTCATCGTTCTGGGGCTGCGAGAGCGAGCACATCCAGGGTGAGGGGACGGAAAAGGAGAGGCTCGGGCACTCTTGGACTAGCGTGTCATTACGTGACTGCCCAAACCACACGCCTGTCCCCGGCGTTGTGCTTGTTCTTTGCATGGTGTATCTGAAAGCAGTCCTTACGTGTGGAATTCTCCAGCACACAGATGCAGCCCTAGCGGTGCTCTGCCGCGTCAGGCCGTGCCGGATCTTGGCAGGCCCCAGCAGGCCCACCGTGGAAATGACAAGGCCTGTGGCTTCACAGCTATGGTGGGCACACTGGATTTGCTTGTCTTCTTTATCAGTGTGGTACTGGGGTAACGAGAACGCTTAGCAAAACACAACTCTGTGCTCTGTGATGGGGCTGCTGGGTCTGCTCACTAAAGGCTCGGGACATTCACAGAGCCCTATCTTGACTCCACGGCAAACAGAAGTCTCTTCGTTCGATGTCATTGTGACCCTTAGGAGGAGGGCACAAGAGACCCCCAAATGCTAGTAAAATCTGACCTTGGGGTGCTCTTCCGTTTCCACATGAATGCCTTGTTTCCCGTCCACTACAGAGCACTCACTGGAATGACATGGCTTCTTTGAGGTGTCCCAGTTGTTTTCCACATGTGCAGAGAGACGCCTTGACAGCCACGGCACCCCTGCCCTGTCCTATAGGAATGTGTGCTGAGGCACACACAGACAAGACGGTGAAACCGATTTCAGTGTGCTTTGTCCTCTTGGGCGCCTTCTTCTCTAGTTTATTGCCCCTAGTCTTTACATCCAGTAGCTATTGTGAAGTAGGTTTCCTCTTCGTTGGCTATAAAAATGCAAGGTGACCTACTTCAACAGCTGCTGTGTCCAGAGAAGAATTACTATGACTTGGCAGCGCTGGCGAATCCTCAGAGGGTAGAGCTGAAAAATCCACACCAGATGGCTTGATGCAGCTGCTCGGAAAGGTTACGCTCCATCAGATCACCCTGGAGGGCAGGCAGAGTTAACGCGGTGATGCCAGGCAGGCCCCAGGCCTCAGCTAGAAGCAGGAGGTCCTGCCCCAGCCTGCCTTATCACTCCTTCCAAAAAACAGCCTGGCAAAAGGTAAGGGAGGAATGGGGGCAGGCAGAGCAATCTGTAGAAGGCCCTCTTTAGCCTAGGTCTACCTAGAGGCAGCCAGGTGAGCCTGCATCTGCAGGCCTCTCCCAGAAGGGGGAGGTGGAGACATGTATTGTCTGGAAGCTGGTCCACATAGAAATGGAGCAGCTCCCGGAAGGGGAAAAGCTGTTGCCACTTGGGGAATAGGCAGACTCAGGTTGGTATCAGTATTCTTCATCACAAAACACAGTACATGTCACTTTATCGCAGGAGCATAGGATGTGTCAGCAGGCTGCACCCTGGGAAGGATTGTCCTGTGTGAGGCTGCAGAGCTCACAAACATCACATCAATTGTGTGCCTAGGATAGCATTGTTGTAGAAAGTGAGGCAGTGGACAGGGACTGGCCTCCTCAAAGGCCATGTTACTTCAGGGCAACAGCAGAGGCTCTGAGCTTGACTGGAATCCTATCCTTGGGTGGGATGCCAGCAGCTCTGGGATTTGCTTTTGGCTTAGCTGCCTCTTGTGCATGGCTGCTGAGGCCTCCCCCTGCTTTCCTATGCTATTGTCTGTGCGGCTGCCTGGGGCCTTGTGTTCTGAATAATTGCATTGAAGACTCCTACATGGTTAGCTCTCCTTTATTCTACTTATGACAATGAATTTGGGTTTGTGGGATTTTGTTTTATTTTGTTTTTGAGACAGGGTCTCACTGTGTGGTCCTAGTTGGCCTAGAACTCACTTTGTGGACTAGGATGGTTTTGAATTCACAGACGTGTATATCTCTGCCCCTCCCGCCGCAAGTGCTGGAATTAAAGGTATACACCACCATACCCACCTTATCGTTTTGGAGATGGGATCTCACTCTGTAGTCTAGATTCCTTTGAACTCAGAATCCTCCTTTTGCCTCAGCCTCCTGAGTGCTAGAATTGGGGATATGTATCACCACACCCAGTTTTCCTTTGCTTTGCTTTTTTCTTTGTTTGTTTGTTTGTTTTTGAGACAGGGTGTCTCCTTGTAGCCCGGGCTGTTCTAGAACTCACAGAGATCTGCCTCTGCCTCCCAAGTGCTGGGATTAAAGGTGTGCACCACTGCTGCCTGGCTGCTTTTTTTTTTAATTTGTTTTTGTTTTTTTTTTTAAATTTCTGTCTTTGGAGTGAATTCTAAGATGGATCAGTTCACCACTACTGCCCTGGAGACAGGTTGGTTTCTTCCCCTTCCAGCAGAACAGGGCGCTGGTTTTGGAGCCCGCAGGTGGAATGGGTTCTAAGCCAGACACCGCGTCTCCAGTGAGCCATGCTGTGCAGTATAGACCTGGCTGCCCGCCTGTCCCCCTCTGTGCCTGATGAGGTGGCCTTTGTTTGCTGTTACTCGGTGGCTCCTTCCAACCTAACCCTCTGCGACAGTAAATGTGTGGTCCGGGTGTTCAGGGCAGGGACACATCACTGAAGGGTACTTATTCACTCTAGCTCTCTAGAGAAGCGTAGCCTATAGGATACGGCTATGTATGGAGAGGGTTACTTTAAGGAGTTGGTTCGCAAACTGGTAGACACCTGATAAATCCTGAACCTGCAGGATAGATCAGCCTTGGTTTCCCTCAGGCCTTTAACTGGTCAGATGAAGCCCACCACAGGATGGGATGTAATCTATTTTGTTCAAAATCTGCCAGTTTAAATGTTAATTTTGTCTTTAAAAAAGAAAGCTTTTGTGCTGTTAACATCCAGAATAATGTTTGACCGAGTCTTTAGGTCCTGAGGCCTCCACATTGACATTAGATTAAGCGCCATGTTTCCAGCCATGGGAGACGGTATCCTCTGCAATCTGAGGACTTCTCAGAGATCTCCGCTCTGGTACAGCCATTGTGAAGCCAACTGGAGCATCTTAAACAAAGGAGGCGCGAGCTCAGAGAGACAGATGGGCGAGGCATCGAGAAGGGCGCATGTTTAAATATCCCAGCAGTGCTTGTGTGTGCGATTTTGTGGCCTTTGAAGTTACAGGGTTCAATGGGTGGGAGTCAGAGCTGGGGAGAGAAGAGGTGGCAGCCCTGTATGCTTACCCCAAAGGCTATCACTGTGCCCTTTGCTGGGTAATGTGGCACGATGCCAGCTGTGCTCCGGGAGGAACCAGGTCAGGAAGTGCGAAGGAAGCAGGCTAACTGCTCTGTGAGATAAAGTAATGAGTGGGAGAAATTTGGTCAGCTCCAAAGACAAAGGCTCCAGAGGGAAAAGGAGGAAGTATGGGCCTTGGACCTGGGTCCATTTGCATAACTTTGTAAGATGGCTACTGGGGTCCTGAGATGAGGCTTGTGTGGATCTGAGCAGGATCTGGCCACCAGCCAGTGTTTGCCAGAGCCAGAGCTAATAAAAGATATGAAGATCTCCAGGATGCACTTCTGGAGGCAGATGTGGGTGTGTGAGGTGGGATGGGGATCAGAGGCTTTGGGGCTACCTCAGAGAGGCTCCAGGGGCTGCTGATCTGCAATCCATCCCAGCAAGGCCTGAGGAATGCTTAGTGGGAATGTCAGGTCAAGAGCCCGCCAAGTCCCAGACTTCCAGCCTCATAGAATACCCATGGAGACTTCTTCCCATGAAGGCTTTATAGCACTTAAAACTGCTCTTCGGTGTTCACAGGGGGCTGGTTCTGATCTCCCCCTTTGATGCCAAAACCCACAAATGGACAGGCATTTTCCTGTATGCATTAAGCCACCCCTTTAAAGCGATAGGTGCTTTACAGTGGTTGCCATGGCGTCATGCTTAGGGGATGACAGGGAGAGTGAGGTCCCTCCATGTTCAGTACAGATAAGGGGTTTTGTTTTCAAATATTTTTATGACGAGATTGGACTCCCTAGATGTGGAACCCACGCACACAGAACTGACTCTACATGTTTCTGCAACTCATCACTGCCAAGTTAGGCCACTTTCTTACCCTAAATACACACATGTGCACACACACGGAGTGCACATATAAGCTCTGCCATCTTCCTCTGTACCATCCCTAACTTTTCTTTTTAACTTATACTGAGCCCAGCAATAGAAAACAAGTTAAAAGTAAAAGATGTTGTATTGGTTTTGTTGAGCAGTGTGTACTAGGACGGACGTGTGCTGTGGGTAGGACGACGAATGTGTGCTGTGGGGTCAAGCTCTTATACACTGTAAAGGTTTGTTACTTGTACTGGTTTAATAAAATGCTGATTGGCCAGTAGTCAGGCAGGAAGTATAGGCAGGGTGACCAGACTAAGAGAATTCTGGAAAGAGGAAAGTCAGAGACGCAGCCTCATCTTGGAGGAAGCAAGATGAGAATGCCTTGGGGACCTTAGGAGAGGGTTGAAGGGGAAGGGAGCAGCTCAATAAAAATCAATAATAAAATAAAAGATGAGAATGCCTTACTGAGAAAAGGTACCAAGCCACGTGGCTAAATACAGATAAGAATTATAGGTTAATTTAAGTTGTAAGAGCTAGTTAGTAATAAGCCTGAGTTAATAGGCCAAACAGTTCATAATTATTATAAGCCTCTGTGTTTCTTTGTTACTGAACAGCTATGGACCGGGGTGGGGGGGACACAGAAACTTCCATCTACAGACTTGGGATGTATATATCCTGCAGGATGGGCTTGGGTTTGCTGTATGACTTCCCAGGAGCCTGACTTGGGGTGACCTTGTAGGTGAGGCCTGGGGCAGAGCACATCCAGAGCAGCTCTTCCCTTCCTCACCACTCTCTTGTATGCATGTGACCTCTCTCCTGTCTCCTCACTAGAAATGGCCAAAGCAGTCCAGCTCTGGATGTCAGGAGCAGCTCTGCCTCCAGAGAGAGCCTCCAGAATGGGAACCTGAGTGACTCTTCCGATGTGGAGTCTGGCAATGGGCAGTGGCCCAAGCAGGGAATGCCGCTGTCTCATGTCCGTTTTGAAGATGAGTCTGCCCACGAGGCTGAGTTCCGGTACCTGGAACGGCGTCAGCAGCGCCAGCGTCAAGTGTTAAGCACAGTGCTACCAGCTGTGGGCCAAGGACCTCTGCGCTCCAAGCCTGACTTAACCAACTACATTAACCATAACATGGGGAACAGTGCATTCCACAGGCCTATGGGCTCCCTGGACCACAGTGATTTCCCTGCACCACCATCGATATGGGACAGTGAGAGGACGTGCCCAGCCTGTGGCAGCTGTCTTGAGGAGCGTTGCCCTGCTGAGGGGAGAGCAACGCCTGACCTGAGGGTCCTCCAGGGTCTCCAGGCAACCTGTGAGCAGACATTGCTGCTGGGACCCTGTAATTCCCATGACTTGAGCTCCCCATTCCCAGGGCACCACACAGAATGGATCCGGGAAACACACATCACAGACACTGTTGCCACGCATCCTGAGGAGGGGGACTCTGTCCTCAACAGCACCGTCAATTCAGATAGCTGGACTGACATTAAGGATGCCAGGACCTCTCAGCTCAGCAGGGCAGGTGGGCAGACACAAGGCAGCAGCCCCCAACAGTGGCACTGTGACTCTAGACCTCAGGAAGGCCCCAGGTGGCCCAGGACTGAGGTGGAGCTGCCCTGGGAGCTTCAGGCCTGGCCTCACCTACATGAGGTTGGTGATGTGGTTGTAGGAGGGGAGATAAAAGGAGCCACAGGACACATTCCCCAGGGGACTTTGTTTGTAAAGGAAGATGCTGAGCCCAAACCTGCCTCCGAACCCAAGAGGTCTTGGTCCCAGGGGCATCTTGGACTACAGTTAGGAAATCACCAGACCCAGCCTGAGGATTCCTGGACTACATGCAGGACAGCTTATGCTGTGTCATCTTCCAAGAAGCTTGGGTCCTCAGGGTCAGGTCAACCAGACCAAGTGTCTGAAAGCCACGAGTCTCTGGAACCTGCGTGCACTTCTTCTCTCCAAGGAAGTCCTGAGGAGCCCTCTGCACCTCACCCAGCCCTGCAGCCAACTTTGCCCCTCTCCCTTGAAGGCTGGGCGCCAACCCCTCCCTCTTCAAAGAAATCCTTCTGCCCGATGCCTCTGAGGAAGTCAACCTGTACTAGACATCACAGGCAGGAACTCCAGGTTGAGCATAGGGATATCCCCTTGCCTCTGTCCCCTCCAAGAATCTCAGTTCACACCTCGCCCCAGACCCAACCCAACAGGCCCCGTGTCAAGCATCCACTACTGGACCTGTCTGCCAGCACCAATGGCAGTGTCCCTCTGTGGCTGCAGGAGCCCCGAGGAGCAGCTGTCCCCAAGAGTAGAGCTGACAGGGAGTACTGCTGCCAGGAGCCTGGACCGCCCCTGGAGAGTGACAGAGATGGTAAGGATCGCTGTCCTTCATGTCCAGCCTAGGCCAGGTCTGGGGCACTCCTCTGCACTCCGTCTTGATCACCAGACGATAAGGCCACACACCATGCCTCGTATCCCTGTGGGTCCCTCACGTCAGCAGCAGGTGGCAGGGAGGCGGCAGAGTGTGGACAGGGTGCAGGATTCAGCATTAGCACGGAGCAGGTTAACCAGTTTTCTGTGCTTGGGGGATGGGGACGCAGGCAAGGTGGGGATGGTGCCCTCTTCTTGCTGAGAAGTCTGAGGTGTGTAGGGAAGCTCCAGTCCACAGCTGCTGGAGGCTTTGTGTAAAGTCTGACGGGCCAACCAGCAGCTCTGGAATCCACCATTGCTTCCACTGCCCCTGCTCCTGGGGCTCCCACCTCTCCCCAGTGTCTCCTGTTCCTAAGCTGGGGAAACAGACTTTGCCCCACTGTGACCTGTGGGGACGTCAGTGTAGCAGTGGGGGTGTCATGCTGTTACAGGAACACTCTGGGACTCTCTCCAGTCAGCAGATGTCGCCACTGTCAACTCTACAGCCGTCACCCTTTCCCTCACCTCAGAGGAGCCTGGGTGCCCCCTGGAGTCACACAGGACAGAATCCAGCTCTGGCGGCCACATGCCCACTGGGTGAGTGGCAAGAACGAAGCCCGACTACAATGGGCATGTTGGATGGGGAAAGAAGCTGTAGCGGTAACATCTCTAACCCCGCCCTCCCAAATCCTGGAGGGTTCCTAAACCATGTCCTGGCACCTTAACTCACCCCTCACCCTTCTCAATCCTTTCTCTCTCTCTCTCTCTCTCTCTCTCTCTCTCTCTCTCTCTCTCTTTCCCTCTCCCTCTCTCTTTTTGTGCTCTTTGTGTGTGTTGTACATATGTGTTCATGTGGGTGTGTGCACATGTGCACTATGTGTCTGGGGACACATAGTGTGAGTATGTGTACAGACCAGATGTTGACACTGAGTGTCTTAATTAGTTGCTTTGTGCCTGGTTTTTGAGCCCCAGGGATTCACTTGTCTCTGCCTCCCCAGACCTGGGGTGATTAAGATGCTCTGCCATGCGCCTGGCTTTTAAACGGGTGCTGGGATCTAACTCGAGTCCTCAGGCTTGCGTGCCGAGCACTTTATCTACTTCCAGCCCCCACTTTTTCCAGGTCTTTTTATCTGATGCACCTTGAAGAGCCACCGAGTTATCTGCTCACCCTTGAGCCCCAGCTTCTAATGCTACAACTGAGAGCCACAGGCCTCAGGGAGCTCCTAGGATGCAAATTGTTTCCCATCTTTGCTTCAGCTGGGGTTAGACATGTGAGGTCTTGCCTTGGGACCTCCTTAGGCCGAGTTCAAAGCCTTGGTGAACCTGGTACTTCCCTGCTCCCAACTGTATCTGTGACCACACGGCAACACCCAGCCTCCCTATGGCCTGGGCGTTTGCCAGGAAGCAAGGTCTGTCTTCAGTCTCTCCTGGACATCTCTCCCGGTATCTAGCTGACCCCTCAACAGAAGCCGAACCGTGGCCTTCCCAGCCCCCTTCCTAGCAGCCACGCTGCTATCCACACACTGCTTAAACACACACTGTCTGCGTTTCCTCCTGCTTCCCCCACCTCCACCCTCTGGCAACCCTCTCCAGCCCCCAGCCCCTCTTTCTGCCATCTGCTCTGAGCTGCCTCACTTCTTAACTGCACGAGGGAATATTTTTAAAAAACCCAATTAAATGGAATCATTGCCCTACTTAAAGTCCCAGGGCAGTCTCTCTTCCCTTGCCTTCCCGAGGCTGACAGCGCTTGGCAGTGTGCTGGGCCTGCCTGCCTGACCTCCTACCACACCTCTTCCTGCCTTTCTCATTACCTGGCTGCTGCCGTCGCGTCAGACTTGGTTCTGCTCTGGCAGCGGCCCAGCCACTCTGTGCGCCTGCGGCTCTCACGTCTAGGATTAATGGCCAGACCCCTGCCTGTCACTGGCCCGCGGTGTAAAGATTGTCTTCTTCCCAAAGAGACCTTCCCTGGAAACTATTTAAAACAAGTGCCTGGTCACACTCTGCTTCACACACAACTGTGAATGGTTTTTCTCCTTTAGAAGCTTCTGTACGCCCTTAGCTGAGGGCCGACAGATAGGAGACATCCCGAAGGAATGGAGTGAATGGATGATGAGCCCATAGCTGTGTGCTGTGGCGGGGCTATCCTGGACTCATGACTGTGTGCTGTG